ATTGTAATATATCCCTCCCCCCCACTTCCAGGTGTCATTGTGATATATCCCCCCACTTCCAGGTGGCATTGTAATATATCCCCCCCACTTCCAGGTGTCGTAATATATCCCCCCCCCACTTCTAGGTATCATTGTAACCAGATAATCAATGTTATTCACTTAACCTCTCAGTGGTCACAATGTTATGGCTGATCGCTGTTTGTATTTCTTCCCTCTGTTTCTCGGTTGGCTCGGAGTTCAGCTTTAAAAACATGACACCAAAAAAATATCTTTCGGTTAAGTGCTGTAATCATTTTTTTTTAGCATAAAACCGTACCCAGTGAAAATACACCGTAGTTTTCCTGCAGTTACATAATGTTCACGTTTTTCTGGCCACCTGAGACTGTTTGGTCTACGATAAACTCCGGACCTCCAGCTGCGGTTAAGCTACAAATCCCATCGTGCCCCTGCCTCCTGGGAGCCAGCCGCTGTCAGTCTGGCGATGCCTAATAGGATTTGTAGCTCCGCAGCAGCTGGAGGGGCCGGAGTTTTCCTACGCCTGATCTTTGACAGCCTAGTTGAGTTTTGCTGTTCAGCAGATCAGCAGTCATTTTGACGGAGCGTTTTCTGGATCGTCAACCCCGGAAAAGTGACATCCATCTTCCATAGAATGTCCAACACTTGCGTTCCGCCTCCCTGTCGCTGTTCCCTCATCTGGCTTATGATCCGCGCCTTCCTGCTCCTATAACTGAAGGAGATGAGTAGAGCTAATAGACTAACACAGTCCAATCTATCAATAGAGGGGGGCGGGGGGCGGACTCCGGGGGGTTCCTATTCACACATGACGAATCGCTGCGATTCAGAGGTGACTTTGCATAATGCCGCATTCATCACCTCGCCCCTTTCCAGGCACAAGCTGTACAGTCGTTTGTCACACGGCGAGCCGCGATCAGACGCCGCGCTCCATCATTTAGAAACGCCAAGGGTGCTTTATCATTCGGAACATGGACTTGTGGCTGCCGGGAACACAAAATCCGGCACGCCTGTTGCACATGTTGACGTCGAGACCTGTTGCTTAAAGGGATTCTTAAAGGAGAACTATGAGGCGAGTGATTTTCACTCAGCCTCATAATCTGAGCCGACCTGTGACAATGAGACTGTCACAGGTCGGCTCAGTAGATCGGGAAGTGAGCGAACACATACCGGCGCTCGCTCACTTCTCGATCTATCCCCGCAGGTGAGTCGCGACAGGGGAGTGACTGGATTCCCCTCCTCCCCTGTCCGATCCTCCAGCGCTGACTGGCGGAACGGACGGGGGAGGGGGCGGATACAGCCGGCTCTGACTCTAGATAGGCAGAGCCAGCTGTCACTCACGCAGCTGGGTGGATCCAGACAGTATTGTCGGGATCCGTCCCAGCTGAGGCGGTCTCAGTATACCGCGAGCTTTGGGTGATGGGAGGACGCTAGTTTGTGTCCTCCCGTTACCCTTAGGAGAATTATGGGGAAAAGCCCTGACCACATAGTTCTCCTTTTAAGTCCTTTCCAAGTGTTCAGATACGTATGTGAGTATGAGCGCACTCATGTAGAGGAGCTCATCACTCTGAGTTCTAGTAGAGGGGAACCCAATCTCCGAAATCTCATAGAAGCTTTACAGTGCAATTGAACTTTTAGTTTTAAGCAATTAATTCCATTCCAGGTGCAAACAGCCACGGACTTATCAAAAAGTCAGCATGCTGCACAGAAGGACCCTTGTTCTCTGTGTAGAAGCAGCGGTCTCTCTGCAGAGGACTAGTGCTGAGTCTGAGGTAGAGCTTTCCATTCAGCCGGGAGCATGAGCTCTGCGTTTACTGACATTGTAAAAGGGGGCTGTGTGTGCGCGTACAGAAGATCTAGTTCAGAGTCAGCAACTTTTTCCACATTGTCAGTTTACAAGCATTAGATGACCAACTAGATTGAGCAATAGCGCATTGTAGACCTCAGATCATCTCCATTTCTTGCACCTTCACCCCTCAGATTACCCCAGTTCCTGCACCTTCACCCCTCAGATGAGCCCCAATTCCTGCACCTTCACACCTCAGATCACCCCAATTCCTGCACCTTCACCCCTCAGATCACCCCAATTCCTGCACCTTCACCCCTCAGATCACCCCAATTCCTGCACCTTCACCCCTCAGATCACCCCAATTCCTGCACCTTCACCCCTCAGATCACCCCAATTCCTGCACCTTCACCCCTCAGATCACCCCAATTCCTGCACCTTCACCCCTCAGATCACCCCAATTCCTGCACCTTCACCCCTCAGATCACCCCAATTCCTGCACCTTCACCCCTCAGATCACCCCAATTCCTGCACCTTCACCCCTCAGATCACCCCAATTCCTGCACCTTCACCCCTCAGATCACCCCAATTCCTGCACCTTCACCCCTCAGATCACCCCAATTCCTGCACCTTCACCCCTCAGATCACCCCAATTCCTGCACCTTCACCCCTCAGATCACCCCAATTCCTGCACCTTCACCCCTCAGATCACCCCAATTCCTGCACCTTCACCCCTCAGATCACCCCAATTCCTGCACCTTCACCCCTCAGATCACCCCAATTCCTGCACCTTCACCCCTCAGATCACCCCAATTCCTGCACCTTCACCCCTCAGATCACCCCAATTCCTGCACCTTCACCCCTCAGATCACCCCAATTCCTGCACCTTCACCCCTCAGATCACCCCAATTCCTGCACCTTCACCCCTCAGATCACCCCAATTCCTGCACCTTCACCCCTCAGATCACCCCAATTCCTGCACCTTCACCCCTCAGATCACCCCAATTCCTGCACCTTCACCCCTCAGATCACCCCAATTCCTGCACCTTCACCCCTCAGATCACCCCAATTCCTGCACCTTCACCCCTCAGATCACCCCAATTCCTGCACCTTCACCCCTCAGATCACCCCAATTCCTGCACCTTCACCCCTCAGATCACCCCAATTCCTGCACCTTCACCCCTCAGATCACCCCAATTCCTGCACCTTCACCCCTCAGATCACCCCAATTCCTGCACCTTCACCCCTCAGATCACCCCAATTCCTGCACCTTCACCCCTCAGATCACCCCAATTCCTGCACCTTCACCCCTCAGATCACCCCAATTCCTGCACCTTCACCCCTCAGATCACCCCAATTCCTGCACCTTCACCCCTCAGATCACCCCAATTCCTGCACCTTCACCCCTCAGATCACCCCAATTCCTGCACCTTCACCCCTCAGATCACCCCAATTCCTGCACCTTCACCCCTCAGATCACCCCAATTCCTGCACCTTCACCCCTCAGATCACCCCAATTCCTGCACCTTCACCCCTCAGATCACCCCAATTCCTGCACCTTCACCCCTCAGATCACCCCAATTCCTGCACCTTCACCCCTCAGATCACCCCAATTCCTGCACCTTCACCCCTCAGATCACCCCAATTCCTGCACCTTCACCCCTCAGATCACCCCAATTCCTGCACCTTCACCCCTCAGATCACCCCAATTCCTGCACCTTCACCCCTCAGATCACCCCAATTCCTGCACCTTCACCCCTCAGATCACCCCAATTCCTGCACCTTCACCCCTCAGATCCGCCCCAATTCCTGCACCTTCACCCCTCAGATCACCCCAATTCCTGCACCTTCACCCCTCAGATCACCCCAATTCCTGCACCTTCACCCCTCAGATCACCCCAATTCAAGCACCTTCACACCTCAGATCAAACCCAATTCCTGCACCTTCACACCTCAGATCAGCCCCAATTCCTGCACCTTCACACCTCAGATCAGACCCAATTCCTGCACCTTCACACCTCAGATCAGCCCCAATTCCTGCACCTTCACACCTCAGATCAGCCCCAATTCCTGCACCTTCACCCCTCAGATCAGCCCCAATTCCTGCACCTTCACACCTCAGATCAGACCCAATTCCTGCACCTTCACACCTCAGATCAGCCCCAATTCCTGCACCTTCACACCTCAGATCAGCCCCAATTCCTGCACCTTCACACCTCAGATCAGCCCCAATTCCTGCACCTTCACACCTCAGATCAGCCCCAATTCCTGAACCTTCACACCTCAGATCAGCCCCAATTCCTGAACCTTCACACCTCAGATCAGCCCCAATTCCTGAACCTTCACACCTCAGATCAGCCCCAATTCCTGAACCTTCACACCTCAGATCAGCCCCAATTCCTGTACCTTTATACCTCAGATCAGCCCCAATTCCTGCACCTTCATACCTCAGATCAGCCCCAATTCCTGAACCTTTGCACCTCGGATGAGCCCCAATTCCTGCACCTTCATACCTCAGATGAGCCCCAATTCCTGCACCTTCATACCTCAGATGAGCCCCAATTCCTGCACATTGAGACTTAAAATAAGCCCCAGTTTCTGCACCTTCATACCTCCGGTCAGCCCCAACGTATGCATCTTCACACCTCAAATCAGCCCCAGTTCCTGTACCATCAGAAATGCAGGGTTTTCTTTATTCATACCTGCTGCAGCCGGCAGTTTTATTAGGAGTGTAGGCATGTTGGCTTCTTCAAGTAAGGACATCTGCTGAGGGGCCTTCTCCGATACCGGGAGGTGGGCCGCCACCTGAACCTCAGTGATGTCAAGCAGGCCTCTCTGAAACATCATGTAGGTGGTGGGTGCAGGCACAGGCCAAGATTTGTAATTGTAGTGAGCCATCAATTACAGCCATGTGGCGATCTTTAGGCTAAAACTGGTGTTGCCTGTGCACCATGACATGTGCTCCTCAGGTTGCCTATCCCTGATCTTGTGTATTTATAACATTTGGATGAGGCTGTATAAAGCACTTGTTGGATAGGCTTGAAAAGGTCTCTCTAAATGTAAGGAAATTGTAAGCAAAGCCAACATCCTCTTCTGCCAGTCTTGTCTTTTGGTTTTTGTACTATGCAGTCTCAATAGATTGTACCACGTGTGACTGTCTGTCACATTTGTCTTGTGCCTAAATCTCTTTGTGTCCTTGTAGGAAAAAATTCCGCGTCTAAGTACAAGCAGCGTATGTGAAAGAGGTAACTGTCCTTCTTTTGGGGCACTTTTGTCTCTAGATAGACTTTTCGGATCTCCAATCAATAACCGATCTTAACAAAATCATTAAACTTTGTAATGGTAGAGCTGTTTACTACTCGAAATACACTATGTGGGCCTAAGGTTTGTAGACACCTGACCATCACACCTAATATGAGATTGTTGGGCATCCCATTCCAAAGCCATGGCCATTAATATGGAGTTGGCCCCTCTTTGTGACTAGAGCATCCTCCACTTTTATGGGCAAACTCCTGACAAGATTTTGTAGTGTTCCCATTCAGCCAAAAGAGTATTGGCTCTTTTGGCTGAAGGTCGTAGGTCGGGTCTTGATGGTGGTAGAGAAGACCCAACTAATTATAAGCAATACAGCTCATCCCAAAGGTGTTTAGTAGGGTTGAGGTCAGGTCAATCGAGTTCCTTGTCACCAAACTGGACACACCATGTCTTTATGGAGCTGGCTTTCTGCACAGGGGCACAGCCATGCTGGAAAAGAAAAGTGCATTCACCAAACAATTGTCCTTCACTGGAAACACTTGAACTCCATCGTTGGGAGGGATGTCCACATCCTTTTGGTCATATAGTGTATTAATAATGACATATTGATCATTTTGCCTCTGTTTCTAAATCTGGGAGAGATCACCTATAGGCAGATTATGTGATTTTCTATTTCTTATGGCAGCAATGGCTACAACCCCTTGGGGCAGCCCCTTATTTCACGCAAACAAATCTGCACCACACTGACCCCATGGTGCCTCTTTCTCTCTGTCCTCACCTTTTTTAAATGACTACTTGAATATGGCTTAGAGTTCTAATGTTCAGTTTGGCTCAAAAGTGCTTGCGGCAGCTTAAAGAACACTGAACTCTTTTTTTTGGGGTTCTAGAACTGTCCCACTCTTGATTTTTTTGTTTATTTCTAGTTGATACTCATTTGTTCCTAACACTAGAGACCAGGAAAATTAAAAAACTTACCGGAATTTTTCTTTTCCTGGTTCCTGTTGGCAATATTTCCTTCCCTTGATTCGTACTCAGTTCTTTAGACACTAGAGTTTGGCAAAGAATGTTTTGCGTGGTAAAGGGGCTGCCCTCGGGGTTCACTGGACAACACATGTTGCTGACATAAAAAGAAACCCTGGAAAGGAAAATGACGGTAGGTATGAGAATAAGAGTTTTCTGCTTTCTTCACACCAAGAATAATTTTTTTGTCTGTCCTTAAATATAATCTGATTAACACATTGGTGATTTTTTTTTGAACACTGTTCTTTGTTATAATAATATATGAAAATATACAACACAGTCATTTAGCAGCTGGATATAATGTCTAGAATGGGGGCATCTAAACTTCGGCCCTTCAGCTGTTGTTGAACTGCAAGTCCCCATAAGGCATTGCAAGACTCTTGCCAGGCACCAAGTGGTCCATGGAGTCTTCCCTATTTATTTTTTTAACCTTTTTGCCTGAGTATAGATTTTTGGTTATTTTTGGTTATGTACATAGAGCTCTGGTCTACTTATCGATACGAATCTCTGCATCAGGCGTAACAGGACAGTTGTGGAAGACAGAGTGATATGGGAGCAAAACAGAGATTGTCCGTCCAAAGAAGGGACTGCTGGGAGCTATGCAGGCCGCTCTCCTTTGCTTCGTCACCATATTAACATTTGTGTTGAGCGTGGAGGCTTCTGTCCGGAATGATAAAAGCTTATCAAAAAGCTAGCAATAAAAGTCTGCAAAGTGTTGGAAGGATGAGCGCGCCACAACGATTGGATTGCTCCAGGTTTTTTTTTAAACACAAAAAGAACGCCCGTGTGTTTAGGTTGTCCCTGAAACGTGTTGGATTTATGCTTTTTGTCCCCCATTGTGCTTAATAAAAGCGCAATGACTGGATCTACCCAGTCATTGTGGTGCTCTCATCATTCCAGTACTATGCTGGACCCTGCCGGACCCATCCAGCAATCTCATAACACAGATTTATGCAGGGCAAGGTGACAGTGTGTCTATAAAGAGCAGCCCCCTGACCACATTTATTCTCCTTACATGTGCTCCCTTGCAGCTCCTTGCTTGTCTGCAGTTGGCAACAAGATTGGCTACATAGGCAACGTCACTCCCCTGGTCATGTGGCAGCGCTCTATTGACCGTCAATGGTGAGGAGGTCATATGCTCCTCCTTAATCCATTACATGGGCAAAGTGACAGTGCCTCTTTCAGGTACATCGCTACCTGAATGTTCCACACTCTATTAGAGCAGCTGACAACATCCTGTGTGTACCAAGCCTACCATGGTAGCCGGCCCTCTACTGCCACATGCCAGCGCCTACACAAGGTCCTTTAGCACCCAAGACATTATACCGCAAGCTGTTGCTCCCTATATACTGAGCTTTGGGTGACGGGAGGACGCTAGTTTGTGTCCTCCCGTTACCCTTAGGAGAACTATGGGGAAAAGCCCTAACCCCATAGTTCTCCTTTAAGGCCAAAGTGCATCTTCCCCCTGTGACCTCTGAACTACTTCAGCACCATGGGTTGCAGGTCCGGCCCTTTTTGCACTGTTTGCTGAAACCGGCCACCTTATCTGCTTCCCCCCTCGGTCCGTGACTGCCAGATCCGTAAAGATTACCCCAAGCATAATTTCATGAATATCATTGTCTGGGTTTTGCCTTTGCTAAGGCTTGCTCTAATCCCATTCCTTGTTGACTTTGTTACAGGAGGGCTGTTTGTGGGTCTCCCGGAGGAAATTCCTCGCAGTAAAATATTAAGCGAATCCGACCTGCAGTTTTACATCAAGCAGTTCAAAAAGAGCGGATTCAGGTAAGGCTGAAATTGCTGCATATTGGTCAGCTTGTTGAAGAACGCCGACAAGTACTTGGTGTTGCCTAATACTTTATGGTGTTCCTATGCCTGGTGGAAACCTAATAACTGCTAGTAGGAGTGAACATTCAAGGACCAAGACCTGGCTGTGCCTAATGTACCTGTAGATTCCTTCTAGACCACCCCAGGAGCCATAAAATCCAAGGTGCCTAGTTATGCAGATCAGGTCCACCCCTTCTTGCCTCCCGCTTCTCATTATTGGTCAGTGACATGTCCACAGTAATACTAAGTGGCAAGCTTGTGCTCTATGTTGCAGACTGATGTGCAGATTGGATGCACCAGCCATCCAGGCTCTCTGTAGCTTGGGAGAATGGGGTACAGTGATGGTCATAAAAGGTAAACCTTCCTTGCTGGAAGAGGACAATATTGTGTTAAATGACACCCCTGACAGGTGACATGGAATCGCCCAACACGTGGAGTGACAGCTTGGTCTTCACTAGAGTACACAACAAGGAGTCATGAGCTGGTGGACCCCAGGCTACTTTGCAGCGAGTTGACACCAAGTCCCAGCCCTCGGGAATGACCCAGCAAAGGGATCTTGTCTGAGCAGAAATCAAGGAAGGCGCGAGGGTAGTTGCTGACCAGGGAGAGGTTGCGGCAGGCAGCAGGCAAGATTAGTTAGTGCCCAAGCAGAGGTTGAGGTAGGTGACAGGCAAGAGGGTAACGGGAAACAAAGGTGGGAGGAGACACCGACCGAGTCAGGCAACCTGGGTCACCAATGAGCAAGATAAAATGATAGTTGTCTCATGCATTAGACACTGGCTACCATAAGAGAAGGCGTTCAAATACCCTCCAGGGCCTGGGTGCTCATCCAGTATCAGGGACGCACACAGATGCCAGCTAATGGGCATGCGCCAACTCTCGTATTGCTTGCGCATAATACCGTCTGTGGCGAAAATGCCACAGCTCACGCTCGACATACCGCACACGGACCAGGGAACGGGATGAACAGAAGCGGACCCTAGAGATATTGTAACAGATTCATGGATACATAATACATATGAATGTGACCAGCTTCAAGAGAAATTATATTTTGTATTTTCAAAAAGCGTGTACATTGAATGACTGCGGTATTTACGCATGTGAGCTTCACATTGTTACATGCTCGTTCCTCCATATTTTGGTATTATATTAAATACAGAGATTTGTAGAAAAGCCACTAGAGGGCTTAAGCAGTAAATTTGCAATCACTTTTCCTCCCTTCTTAACAACTGTAGAGACAGGACATCAGCCACGCAGGGAATGGGGGTGGGGGCATTGTTTTTAACAAGTCATCTGACTTGTAGGGCGGTATTGTGAGAAGTAGGGATGCACCTATACAGATTTTTCGGTATCGAGTGCGAGTAGCAATATTTTTTTCCCAGTACTCACCGATACCAAATACCGATACCAGAAGTCCCATTGAGGAAGCCGGGCGGCGTGTAACGACTTGCCACCCAGCTTCCTGATTACCCGGTTAGCTGTCTCCATGCTCCCTTGTCACCAGGGGATGAGGAAGCATGGAGCCAGCTTTCTGGCCAATCAGGAAGCCGGGGGCAGGTAATGGCTTGCCACTCGGCTTCCTGATTGGCCAGCTTCCCGACCAATCAGGAAGCTGGGCTGCAAGTTATTACACGCCGCCCGGCTTCCTGATTGGCCCGGGAAGTCAGCTTCATGCTCCCTCGTCACCAAGTGATGGGGGAGCATGGAGCCAGCTTCCCGGCCAATCGGGAAGTCAGTGGGAGAGTCATTAGCAGCCACCCGGCTTCCTGATTGGCCGGGAAGCTAGCCCCATGCTCCCTGGTGCCCAATCAGGAAGCCGGGGGGGCAAATAATGACTCACCGCCCAGCTTCCTGATACTGGAAGTTCGGTATCAGAATAAGCATCGGGAGTATTTGGATGAGTACTCGCCCAAATACTCAGTATTGGCACTGATACTAGTATTGGAATCGGTGCATCCCTAGAGGGAAGGAGCAGTAAAGCACAACCATTGTGTAGCACTGCAGAGCAGGAGGCTGCCCTCCGATGTACAGATTATCAAGTACTTGATGTTGCCTAATACTTTATGGTATACATGAGTCTGGATTAAAATTAGAACTACTTGTAGGACTAAAAATTCAGGGATCAAGACATGGCTGAACCTAATGTACTTGGAGATTCGTTCTAGAGCACCCCAAGAACCATCAAGTGCTTAGTTATGCATATCAGCCCTCTTGCCCCTTGTGTGTTAGGGTGGCCATAAACAGGTAGATCTCTCCCTTAGAATGACGAGAGGGCTACTACCCATGTGGGGACCTCCCTTGCCCATCAGTAGTCCCGTAACACTTTCCCTCGTATACAGAAGAAGACCACAGGAGGGTTCACCAATATTTATATAAAATCGCTGTTTCTACTTCCTTTTCTTCAGGGGACCATTAAACTGGTACAGGAACATGGACCGGACCTGGAAGTGGATTAGAACTGCCCATGACTGGAAGGTACGTGAGTTCCCTGACTCTGCCTGGCATGAAGCCGAAGATTCCGGGACATTGACGTCATTATCTGTCAGTGTAGGAAGGTCTATGGTGCAAAGGATCAGGAGTGGTATGCAAGCCAGGGATGAGGTGTACATAATGGCCGGTTAGTGTTATAGGGGAGGGTCAGTTTTAGGTTTACACAGGAGGTTAGTGGTAGGGTATCAGGGAGGGTTAGGGTTACAGGGAGGGCTAGTGTTGGGGTTACAGGGAGGGTTAGTGTTAGGGTTACAGGGAGGGTTAGGGTTATAGAGAGGGTTAGTGTTGGGGTTACAGGGAGGGTTAGTGTTAGGGTTACAGGGAGGGTTAGGGTTATAGAGAGGGTTAGTGTTGGGGTTACAGGGAGGGTCAGTGTTAGGGTTACAAGGAGGGTTAGTGCTAGGGTTAGAGGGGGGGTCAGTGTTAGGGTTACAGAGATGATTAGTGTTCTGATTACAGGGAGGGTTAGTGTTGGGGTTACAGGGAGGGTCAGTGTTAGGGTTACAGGGAGGGTCAGTGTTGGGGTTACAGGGAGGGTCAGTTTTAGGGTTACATGGAGGGTTAATGTTAGGGTTACAGGGAGGGTTAGTTTTGGGGTTACAGGGAGGGTCAGTGTTGGGGTTACAGGGAGGGTTAGTGTTGGGGTTACAGGGAGGGTTAGTGTTGGGGTTACAGGGAGGGTCAGTGTTGGGGGTACAGGGAGGGTCAGTTTTAGGGTTACATGGAGGGTTAATGTTAGGGTTACAGGGAGGGTTAGTGTTGGGGTTACAGGGAGGGTCAGTGTTGGGGGTACAGGGAGGGTCAGTTTTAGGGTTACATGGAGGGTTAATGTTAGGGTTACAGGGAGGGTTAGTGTTGGGGTTACAGGGAGGGTCAGTGTTGGGGGTACAGGGAGGGTCAGTTTTAGGGTTACATGGAGGGTTAATGTTAGGGTTACAGGGAGGGTTAGTGTTGGGGTTACAGGGAGGGTCAGTGTTGGGGGTACAGGGAGGGTCAGTTTTAGGGTTACATGGAGGGTTAATGTTAGGGTTACAGGGAGGGTTAGTGTTGGGGTTACAGGGAGGGTCAGTGTTGGGGGTACAGGGAGGGTCAGTTTTAGGGTTACATGGAGGGTTAATGTTAGGGTTACAGGGAGGGTTAGTGTTGGGGTTACAGGGAGGGTCAGTGTTGGGGGTACAGGGAGGGTCAGTTTTAGGGTTACATGGAGGGTTAATGTTAGGGTTACAGGGAGGGTTAGTGTTGGGGTTACAGGGAGGGTCAGTGTTGGGGGTACAGGGAGGGTCAGTTTTAGGGTTACATGGAGGGTTAATGTTAGGGTTACAGGGAGGGTTAGTGTTGGGGTTACAGGGAGGGTCAGTGTTGGGGGTACAGGGAGGGTCAGTTTTAGGGTTACATGGAGGGTTAATGTTAGGGTTACAGGGAGGGTTAGTGTTGGGGTTACAGGGAGGGTCAGTGTTGGGGGTACAGGGAGGGTCAGTTTTAGGGTTACATGGAGGGTTAATGTTAGGGTTACAGGGAGGGTTAGTGTTGGGGTTACAGGGAGGGTCAGTGTTGGGGGTACAGGGAGGGTCAGTTTTAGGGTTACATGGAGGGTTAATGTTAGGGTTACAGGGAGGGTTAGTGTTGGGGTTACAGGGAGGGTCAGTGTTGGGGGTACAGGGAGGGTTAGTGTTAGGGTTACAGGGAGGGTCAGTGTTGGGGTTACAGGGAGGATCAGTGTTGGGGTTACAGGGAGGGTCAGTGTCGGGGTTACAGGGACGGTTAGTTTACAGGGAGGGTCAGTTTTGGGGTTACAGGGAGGGTTAGTGTTAGAGTCCAACCCCCTCACTTCCAGTATTATTATATACACCCCAATGTGATTTCAGGTGTCTGTAGACTAATAACGGCTGTTTATTTCTGGGTTAGATCCTGGTGCCGGCACTGATGGTGACTGCCGGGAGGGATCCGGTCCTGCTGCCTGTCATGAGTACCGGCATGGAGAATCGGGTGAGCTGAGCGTTTTGTTATATCTGTTTGATAAGTGCTAGAAAATAGATAATTGATCCTGTTGATTGTCATCAGTTACACTTTCCCAGAGTAGACTACAACACACCCTCCCCCCGGAGTTGTGAAGATGAGGAGGTATTCTTTAGTCCTAGGATACAGTAGAGTGAGTGTTTCTGATAGGGGGGAGGGGCTAGAAACAATTACAATATGACAGAAAATGCCATAAACAGGAATATAATTGGTTGCTGTTGGTCTGTAAAACAAAGTTATTATCCGTCAGCAGATGAGTTATAGATTTTTTATTTTTTTTTCTCCTTGAAGATCCCAAATCTGACACGGGGACATATCGAGGAGTGCGGCCACTGGACACAAATGGAGAGGTAAGGAGACCGGGATCACTCCCCTACCCCCCTTCACTTTGTTTTCCTTCTCCATCTCTATGGAAGAACCAGGGAAAGCTTTGGCTTGTCGTCTTCTTCTATTTCCTTTTCCACTTTCCTTTCCCTTACTCCTTTTTAGTTTCATCTTAAGTTTACACATCTTCTCCGATCCCTTCCCTTTCCTTCCTGTCTTTCTCTTTCTTGTTTTCCTTTCCCTTTCATCTCACTTTACCTTCCCCTTTGTTCCCCTTGCTTTTCTTCCCCTTCCTCATTCCTTTTCCCTTTTCTTTCCATCCATGTTTTTCTCTTCCTCCCTTTCCTTACCTCTTCCTTTCCGTACCCATTTCTTCCTCCTCCCTTTCCTTACCTCTTCCTTTCCTTACCTGTGTATTCCTTCTTCCTTTCCGTACCCGTTTCTTCCTCCTTCCATTCCTTACCACTTCTTCCATTCCTTACCTGTTCCTTTCCTTAACTCTTCTTTCCTTACCTGTTCCTTCCTTTGTCCAGGCTTTCCTTCCCCCTTCCTTTCCTTACCTGTTCCTTTCCTTCCCCCTTCCTTTCCTTACCTGTTCCTTCCCCGAACCATTCCTTACTTGTTTCTTCCCTCTTCCTTTCCTTGCCTCTTCCTTTCCTTACCTGTTCCTTTACTTTCCTTCCCCTTCCTATTCTTACCACTTTTTTTCCTTACCCCTTCCTTTCCTTACCACTTCCATTCCTTATCTGTTCCTTCCCCCTTCCTTATCTTACCTCTTATATGTCGGTTGGTATAAATCGGCCAACTACAGTATATGCCATGCCGCAAACCTGCACAGGAATCTCATTGCCGACTTTAAATGACCCAGAAATCCATAGCGGACTGTACTGCACAGATCTCCGTGGCGGAGTTACGCTCTAAGAGGTGCGAAGGGGATTCCAAGAAACAGAAATGACATTGCAGATGGATGGGAGTTGGGTCATCCATCTTGCTGGGTCATCCATCTTGCTGGGTTCTGGCCATCTCTGTTTCTCAGCGAGGTGTCAGCCGGCCGTTTAACAAGCCTATAAAGTGTGGTTGAGCTCGAGGTGACATTTCCCGTGTCTCGTCGCGGAGGAGATATAATCCTGACAAGTTCGATGGCTGATAAAAAACTTTCATTACGCGTCAGGTCAGCGGCTCCGGTAACTCATCTCCGGCTCTGGCCGCGAGCACAGGTGGCTTTCATTTAACCTCTGCTCTCGGGTTACATTACAAGATTGCCCCATTAGCTGCCGGCAGATTGTGTTTTCCTGAAAGCCATCGCGACCGCGTAACACGGGGTCCTGTCCGCGTAATTAGTTTTCCTCCGCCGCGCCTCTCCCTGTTGGGTTTGGTGAATGGGTAGTTGCCTGATGCATTGTGGTGCAGGGACTGGTAGATCTGGGTGCAGAAGCTTTAGGGACCACTAAGGTAGGAATAGTACTAGAGAGGTTGTTTTTAGGTGGACCTTCAGATACACAACATTTTAATTCTTGTCCATCGAGGGACACAGGGAGTTTTCACCTTTTGGGTTATACTGCCACCTACATTGGACACTGGGGAAAAAAAACTGAAGGCCAGCCCAATATAGCCCCTCCTACAAGCAGCATGCCTCAGTTTTTTGCTAGTGTCCTAGGAAAACGGTAGGCAAACGCAGGGCCTCCAGCTGCTGCAGAACTACAAATCTCTGTAGGCATTGCAAGACTCTGGCAGCCACAGGCATGACTCCCAGAGACAGATGCATGACGGGATTTGTTGTTTCACCACAGTTAGAGGGCTGGAGTTTGCTTACCCCTGTCCTAGAAGGATGGACGTCTTTTAGGACTACCCTATATTTTTCTCTTAATTTTTCTCATCCAGGACATCCTTCTCTTAGTCCCTCTGTCCAGCTCCAGTTCTCCTAGGGGAGCTTCTCTTCCTTGTTAGTCTGGTTCCCCTTTGCTCTTCCCAGAGGGTCCCTGAGGTTGATTCGGTTTCTTGCTCCACCACACTGGGAGTACACCAGCTTATAAGCTTGTTGCTAAGAATTGGGTTTCTCCTTCCTCTGCCAAGTCATGCTGGTTCTGCGAGTTTTCCTGATCACTGGTTCCCAATGCAAGGCTACCAACTGACCTTCTGTTCTCATGTTGTGGAGCCTCATCTGATGTCAGCTTTAGACATATGGACCTTCAGGTGGCTTTGAGCTTCAAGCAGTCCCCAGTTATTTTCTGTTGTTGATATGGAGCCTGTTAGTGTTTGCTGTGTTTCCCACCCCTCATTTGGACTACTTTGGGACATCCCAAAGGTGGCTACCTGTGACCACCTGGCCAGCCCCACTCATTCATTGGATTTCAGTTCTGCTAATCATAGAGGCTCCGCATTACATGGGGGCTGTTACTTAGGGTGGTCCACATACAAATACAGCCTGCCTGGGATCTCCCATGGACTGACCTCCACCCATCATGCCAAAACCTGAGCTCTGGGCACTGGTGAGATGATGCATAGGCCACCAACCCGCTGTTAGCGTGCACCCCCAACCCTCCCTCCTAGGAATGTGCACCCCCTAACCCCCCTCCCTGGAATACTCACCACCAGGACCCCCTTCCTACCCCCTTGTTTTCCTTAGGTGGCAAAAAGACTCGGGACAGCTGATAAGTATGCCTAATGCCCACTGTGCCTTCACCCTCTCTGCCGTACCCCTTGTATCATGATAAATTGGTAGGGATGCACCGATACCTGTTTTCCGGTATTGAGTACGATTACCAAAAAAAAAAACCTTACTCACCGATACCGAAAACCGATTCTGGAAGTTCAATTAAGGAAGCCAGGCGGCGTGTAATGACTTGCCCCCTGGCTTCATGATTAGCCAGAAAGCCGGACAGCGTGTAAAGACTCACCAACCGGCTTCCCAATTAGCAGGGAAGCCGTCTCCATGCTTCCTCGTCACTAGGTGAGGAGGGAGCATGGAGCCGGCTTCCCGGCCAATCAGGAAGCCGGGCAGCATGTAATGACTCCTAACCGGAAGCTCAATTATCGGGCTGGGTATCGAAGCATTTGGCCGAGTACGAGTACTCGCCCAAATACACGGCATTGGCACCGATACTACTATCGGTATCGGTGCATCCCTATGAATTGGCGTAGGTAGTAATGACCGTCAGTCCTGTATGGGATTCCTTGGCATGGACCATAAACCGCTTTATGTGCAGACGGTCAGAATACTTTGGCTTTAAAAATAAAACAAAAATCTGAAAATTCCAGGTATGCATAGAGCGGGGGGCCGTGCTGTGCGGCGCAGCTGTATAAACCCCAGAACTGGGTGGACAGAAATCTAAATCCCCGAACCCTTGTGCAGCTGAAGCAGCTCCCACATGTGTATTTTATCTGCATTGTTAGGAGTTAAAAAAAAAACCAAACCCATCTAGTTCCTGAAAACTCCCGACCACTTAGACGATTATTCACCGGAGGGACGTCAAACCCCCGACATAAAGTGAGCCGTTGGGATGAGCGTTATTAATATTCTGCATGAGGAAGATAAAAAACGGAGCGTCTCCCGGTGCGTCCTTACGGCAAACCTAATGTGGAGATTATAGGCTATTAGAGCGAGCCGCCTTCTGTGCCGCAGACTTACGGCCTCGCCTCGCTCATCCATCGACTCCGCGCTCGTCTTTTTTTTACGAGCGCTTTTTATGTGAGCGGAAATGAGCGCGACGTGCCAGATATCAACTTCTTTTGTAGCGTTCGGCTTATGTGTGCTACGGCGGAGCTCAGGGGCCCGCTTCCCAGGATCCTTTGTTGTAGAGATCCTTAATCCACCTTTCAAGTGTCTTATTAGCGTTATCGGAGACGTCCTCGGAGCTCGGAAGCCGTACGCGGCAGAGTCGTGTCTTCTTCCATCCCGCAGGAAGTGTAAAATCCCCGAGTCTTCTCTCACTTTTATATGAAGTCATCAATATATATCTGCTTCAAGTGCATGTCAAGCCAAGTGTTGCACGGAGGGGGAAGGCATAGAACTCCCGGTAGGTTTTCTCTGCTATCCAGGGCTCCAATGGAGATTTTACACATGTCCTAAAAAAGTTCAAGGTAGTTGTCACCCGCCTGGACGGAGACCAAGCTGAATTGGGGGCATTCTACTAAGGGGAGATGAATCCATCTGACTTTACTTCCTGGAACTCTGGGTCTGCCTGCTGGCACATTTGACATCATCTGAGGGGGTAAAAATACCCTTCCCCTGAGATCTCGCAAGATTTTGCAGTTTACAGATGCATCTGGTGATGTTGCAGGGCTCCATTACCAGTGCCGTACTGAACCAGTTCAGGGCTCCATTACCAGTGCCGTACTCAACCAGTTCAGGGCTCCATTACCAGTGCCGCACTCAACCAGTTCAGGGCTCCATCACCAGTGCCGCACTCAACCAGTTCAGGGCTCCATCACCAGTGCCTCATTCAACGAGACCAGGGCTTCATTACCAGTGCCTCACTCAATCAGACCAGCGCTATATCACCATTGCCTCACTCTACCAGGCCAGATCTACATCACCAGTGCCTCACTCTACCAGGCCAGATCTACATCACCAGTGCCTCACTCTACCAGGCCAGATCTACATCACCAGTGCCTCACTCAACCAGGCCAGATCTACATCACCAGTGCCTCACTCTACCAGATCAGGGCTACATCACCAGTGTCTCACTCTACCAGGCCAGATCTACATCACCAGTGCCTCACTCAACCAGACCAAGGCGACCTCACTAATACCTCACTCGACCAGACATCACTAATACCTGTCACAGACTCACCTGGCGCGTCCCTCCGTTCCAGCGGCGCGCTTCCGTGACGTCATGCTGGGCTCCTCCCACGTGCCGCGGCTCCTCAAAACCACAGGTGAGTCACTCACTCGGCATTGTAGACCAGGGCTACAACACCACTGCCTCACTCTACCAGGCCAGATCTACATCACCAGTGCCTCACTCTACCAGGCCAGATCTACATCACCAGTGCCTCACTCTACCAGGCCAGATCTACATCACCAGTGCCTCACCCAATCAGACCGGGGCTACAACACCACTGCCTCACTCTACCAGGAAGTGGGAAAGCAGTCACTGTAACTAAAAGCAAAAATATTTATTTAACTAATGAATGTAAGGTGATTTCATATACACATGCATTGCTGCAGCTGATGTGATTTTCTGGTGAATGGGGGTGAAGGTCCCCTTTAAGATCCCCTTTATTGGCTGTTTTTGCAGCAACCGAATTGCAATGTATTTTCAGTAAACCCGAAACTGTCATCTCGCCTCTCCCGGTGAAGCCGCTTTCCAGGCTGAGATGAGAAATGATATTGCCTGTCTCCCGCGCTGACACACGACGTTCTGTCTTGACCCATCACTGACTTACTTTTGATTTAAACTTGATCTGATCTTATCTCCACACCTGATCCCCCTGCGGAGCCAACGCCGACGCATCGGGCTCATGACCCCGTACCGCGAATCACCGATGCTGGATCGATTGCTGTGCTGGTGTGAATTGGGGGCATGGGACAGGGCGGCTGTATATGGATTGTGACAGCACAGCTGCAGATCACTGCTCGCACGGCTTTGAAGAATACCATATATCTACAGGAGGATGATAACACTAAGGGGAGATGAATCCATCTAACTTTACTTCCTGGAACTCTGGGTCTGCCTCCTGGCACATTTGACATAATCTGAGGGGGTAAAAATACCCTTCCCCTGAGATCTCGCAAGATTTTCGCAGTTTACAGATGCATCTGGTGATGTTGCAGGGCTACATCACCAGTACCGTACTGAACCAGTGCAGGGCTACATCACCAGTATCTCACTCAAGTAGACCAGGGCTACATTGCCAGTATCTCACTCAACCAGACCAGGGCTATATCCCCAGTGCCTCACTCAACCAGGCCAGATCTACATCACCAGTGCCTCACTCAACCAGACCAAGGCGACATCACCAGTGCCTCACTCTACCAGGCCAGATCTACATCACCAGTGTCTCACTCTACCAGGCCAGATCTACATCACCAGTGCCTCACTCTACCAGACCAAGGCGACATCACCAGTGTCTCACTCTACCAGGCCAGATCTACATCACCAGTGCCTCACCCAATCAGACCAGGGCTGGATCGATTACTGTGCTAATGTGAATTGGGGTCATGGGACAGGGCGGCTGTATATGGATTGTGACAGCACAGCTGCAGATCACTGCTCGCACGGCTTTGAAGCATACCATATATCTACAGGAGGATGATAACAGCTTATTAATACGCAGTATCCGAACTGAAAGAGGAAGTTTGATCTGCTTACATTTTACCTTCCTTGGTCCCTCTTTTCACCTCACATCAACATGATAATGACATCGTTTTCATAACATACCTTATGTTATACCCAGTAATGTCAGTGATGAACTTCTCTATGCGATGCAGGCAGATCATGGCTGTTGGGAGGAAGCCGGCAGGGTGCTGTACATAGCTTACTGAAAACGTCACTGTACCCTGCCTCATTACTCCTAGTACTCCTCAGTACTCAAGAGCATCAGCCTTGATGCAAGCAGCGGGCTGGCTTTTGGGAGGAGTTATGCAAATTTGAAAATGGCTTGATGGGTGGATGTCAGGCTGGGCCCCCCTTCAGTCTATCATGAATGCAGCTGCTAGACTCATTCCCCTAATCAACCGTTCAGTGTCTGCAACCCTTCTCTGCCAATCCCTGCACTGGCTTCCCATCGCCCAAAGTATAAAATTCAAAATATTAACAACCACTTACAAAGCCGTCCACAACTCTGCCCCCGGCTATATCTCAAACCTCGTCTCAAAGTATCACCCTAACCGTCCCCTCCGCTCTTCAAATGACCTTCTGCTTTCCAGCTCTCTTGTCAACTCCCCCCATGCTCACCTCCAGGACTTCGCTAGAGCCTCTCCCATCCTATGGCAGAGAGCAATGACTAATGACTAGGCCCCTATTGGGCTGAAAGGCGTTGGAGGAGTAGGGGAGGGTCTAACAGAGAGCTATGACTAATGACTAAGCCCCTACTGGGTGAAAGGCGTTGGAGGAGTATGGGAGGGTCCGGCAGAGAGCAATGACTAATGACTAGGCCCCTATTGGGGTGAAAGGCGTTGGAGGAGTAGGGGAGGGCCTGACGGAGAGCTATGACTAATGACTAAGCACCTATTGGGGTGAAAGGCGTCGGAGGAGTAGGGGAGGGTCCGGCAGAGAGCAATGACTGACTAGGCCCCTATTGGGGTTAAAGATGTTGGAGGAGTAGGGGAGGGCCTGACGGAGAGCTATGACTAATGACTAAGCACCTATTGGGGTGAAAGGCGTCGGAGAAGTAGGGGAGTGTATGGCAGAGAGCACTGACTAATGACTAAGCCCCTATTGGGGTGAAAGGCGTCGGAGGAGTAGGGGAGGGTCTTGCAGAGACTAATGACTAGGCCCCTATTGGGGTGAAAGGCGTCGGAGGAGTAGGGGAGGGTTTGGTGGAGAGTGAGGACTAATGACTAGGCCCCTATTGGAGTGAAAGGCGTCGGAGAAGTAGGGGAGGGTCTGGCAGAGACAGAGTTTGGAGCTAGATGGAGCTGAGGAGCACAGGGACTAAATAGTTATTTCTTATGCTCCATCTAGTGGCCATAATGTGGTATTTTCTGATTATTACATTCGACCTGAAAGTATAGTAAGAAAATTCATTTTAGACTCCTTTGCACAGAATGAACGTCCACAGAGATTGGCAGGGCGAATGGCTCTGTGAATAGTTTATGAATAGACACTATCGGTCTCCCCCCAAACTCTAAAGACATGCTGGAAGGTTAATTGGCTCCTGCCCAAATTGGCCCTGTATGTGTATGTGAGATAGGGACCTGTGAGAGCAGGGACTGATGTGAACGCACAATATGTAAAGCGCTGCGTGATTTTTGGCGCTATATAAATACCTGTAATCAATAAATTAGTAAACTTTATTTTTCTTTTCTTTTTGCAGGCCGGCAGCGCTAAACGAGATCCTCATCAAGTGGCTTGGGGAAGTTCACGCATCGGCCGTTCCCTCCAAGCTATGAGCTGCCGACTCTCCGCTCATCACGCACACCAGCGTCTGCCTCGGCCAGCCGCGGCGAATCCTCTAATGCCGTAGCCCGAGACAATAGCCGAGCTCGTTAATTGTCCGCCGGTCATGCAGCTAATTCAGAGAGTCATTCCTATTACCAGAAACCTTTCTCCCCGAGAAGCGGCTGTTTCCTAATGAATGTTTTCGTAGATTCCTTTTGAACAATTAACCTTGTGCCTTGTCACGGAACATGTGGAAGAGGCTGATTATGAATAATAATGTGATTTCTCCAATTAAAGACAGATTGTAAGCTATGCGTGCGTGTTCGTGACCAAAAACAAAAGAAAAATACATTTCTGCTGAGCCGCCGATACATTACGAGGATCCAAAAATAGACGCGGCGAGCAGCCGTCGCACGGTGTGCCCGTTACGCCTTTAGCCACCGAACAATGCGGTCTTTAGTATGACGTTATTGAGGGCGACATGACAAGTGAAAGAGGTGGCAGGTCATATAAATGATCCCAAAAGCCGCATGACTTGTGTGTATTTTTAGATAATCAGAGAGAAATTATATGAAACAGAACATCAAAGCTTCAACTGTATCCAATTATTTACTTTTACACATTTATATATTTCTTTATCGTTCATTAAGGATCAGAAATAATCTGAGGCAGTTGGTTATACTGCTTCCTTTAGGAGTAATTGGACACCGGCAACAAAAATTGCCATTGGCCAGCCAGATATAACCCCTCTCACCCCCATGATGCTCCAGTTTTTCACCAATGTCCTAGGAGGATGGACTTCATGTCTCTTAGGAGAAAAGTTTAAATTTGTATTAAGCCAATTTCTTCACTCGGGATTCATCGTTATGCTGCTGAGCCGCGTTGCTGTGCAGCTATCCAGATTGGCAATCCTCTGTGCCACTTTGGAGGCCATACCTGGACCCCGTCGGACTGAAGATTGCAGCTCTTGCTTTTAAAGTGATCATCGGGCACCGGGCTCTGTTGTGGCGCTTCCCAGACACCAAGTGTACTGGTTTGTTAGCTGCAGAGGGCTTAACAGATCTAGGACCGTGACACAGTGTGATCCAGTTCCCTGAAGACACCCTCGGAAGGGGCGAAGTATTTCTAAAACGTGACATGTCAATGGGTTCTGCATGTGGCATTGTACTCTAGTACTGTGCTTGTTAACCCGGAGAAGGCTCTACATGCCTTTGCCCTGTATAAGCATGGCTCGCTTGTATTTTTTCTCCTGCTTGGTTTTTCCCTCAAAGTGTTAACACATCAGAGAAATAAGTGCTGCCCCTCTAGCTGCAAGTGTCAATGCGTGCACTTTCTCTGTCTCTTGTTGCCTTTCTAAGTGATTTAGTTTTCCTGCAACTTGCAAGGGTCACAATTTTTCCTTGATGCAGCCTCACAGTGACTCCGTCAACTCTGCTGGAATAAACTTCTCTGGCTTCAGCAGTCAGTTTATGAGTACCTAAGGTCTTCCCTGGTGTATTTATTAAGTTGCTTTGCAACACAGTATGTCGGATACTAAGTACAAATTGAGCGGTCCCATGGGCCTTCCTGGGCTATGATGCTCTAACAGCTCTAGGACGGCCTGCAGTGTCTCTTCTCATGGACCTGATGCCAGTAGCCCGCATCGCTTTCCCCTGAGTCTAAACACTTCTCTGAGTCTTCCCTACCTCCCTCAGATGTGACTCCCTCCTTCGCATTGTCTATGGAGCATGCCAGCAGCTGGTCTGGCAGCAACCCTAAGCTTGTCAGAAGTTACTTTGGCAGCAACCCAGGCTTGTCATTTAACCCGAAGAACAACCCAGGCTTGTCATTAACCTGAAGTACTCCTATCATAGCTCAATACAACTTTCATGTTACAGAGTCACAATCTTGTCCACATACATTATTGGCTACTCTACTTGCATGTCCCCTGGCCCTAATGAAATATGGTTATATCTGGACTATATTAATAATTGGTGTGGCACTTCAATTCCTACATCTAATGTAAAATGTTGGTCTACAGAACAACAATGCAAAAAAAAAATGCTTACTGCATATGGAATTTGATGGAAAACATCTCTGTTGGTTCTCTAGAAAACTTTTATAAAAGATGCCACTGGTGGAAAGAGTACTCCTTTTCCTTAACAGGCTCAATCATAAATCTTGGACATTCACCCCGTCCAGGATGTGAAAGCCTTAAATGTTTTCATTCAATTCCAAAATGTTGCATAGAATCCACCAGGTCAGTCATAGTTTCCTTCAATCAGGGAGACTTTCTGGCCCCTGTGGAAAACACTGGATCCCTCAACTGCAGAGTCATGTGGCCCATATTCAGCCTGGCAATGCCACAGCAGTGGCGTACATCAACCCTCAGGGAGAAACCACAAATTTTGCTGCAGAAAGAGAGGCAGAAAAGATTATTTTTTGGATAGAATTTCACCTTCCAGCCATGTCTGCTGTTCATATTCCTCAGCCAGCAGCAGCTAGATTCCTATATTTTCCCCCAGAGGTGTCTCAGGACTGCTGTTTTTCCTCCCAATCAGGACTGCTGTTGCAAGTGGAGGACCCTGGATGTGGACCTTCTGGCCTCAAGGTTCAACAACAAACTGAGCAAGTTTTTCTCCGGGTACAGGAATCCTTTGGCAGTCACAATTAATTATCTGGTAACTCTGTGTGATCAGTACAACCTGATCTACACCTCTACCCCTTCCATCCCTACTACGCAGGATCAAGATGTAGGGTATTCTGAGGATTCTCTTCACATCAAACTGGCCCCAACAGACATGGTTCTCTGACCTTAGTAGACTCTTAGAAGACACCTTGTGGGCTCTTCAAGATGATTTGGATCTTCTATCCCAGCTATATGGTCGCTAGCGTTGACAGAATGGCTGTTGAAACCCAGGGAGAAAGTGCTAGGGGCATTTCTGATTCTGTAATTCATACGCTCCTAAAAGCTAGGATGTCCAGTTCCATGGCACTTGGAGGACTTACTTTGCCTGGTGCAAAGCCGAACACTTTCATCCAAGAAAATACTACGTGGGACGGATCCTGACCTTTCTACAATTTGGCTCTGAGTATCTTCAAGGAGAAAATCTCAGCTTATTCTCAAGACCACTTGCCTCTCATTCCCTAGTAAAGCCTTTGTATACCTTTTGTATAGGGTGTTGCTCATATAGTACCACCCGTACAGCCTTCAGTAACTCTGCTTGAGCTAAACTTGGTTCTCTCGGCTCTGCAAAGACCACCCTTTAAACCTATAAGGTATCTACTTTCACTCACACTTCTTCATTGCCATCACCTCTGTAAGACGAGATTCTGAGTTTGCAGCATTATAGGTTTTGTGACGATGGAGCAAAGCCCCAGGTTCTCTCACTCTGACCGAACTTGCCATTAACAAACTCTACAGAGCAGGAAGGGAAGGCCGATATAAGTAGATTAAACTTCAGCTTTAGGAACAAAGATTTGGGATTTTCCCATATATTTACTAATGTGTGTAAAGAAGAACTCTGCTTTTGTTGGAGATTTAAACACAGAAATAGGCTTGCCACTCCTGAGGTTGCTGAAAACTGCATTGTTCAGGTATAATCTGATTAGGGTGATCACAGTCACCCATCTTCTATGTATACTCGGGAACGGATCACTCACAATAACCAGTAATTGATGAGTGCAGCAAAGTGAAGAATGAAAAGTGGAAAGAAAGATCATTAACTATAATGAAAAAAAATGAAGACTGTAAGGACAGCATGCTACAGGGATAAAATATGAAAAGAGATGAAGATCTCCGAAGAATATAAAGCGAGTCCGTTCTGAAGTGAGATTTCTGTTGAATACCAATATTCCTCTTTTGCAATTACCATGAAATGGACCCTTTTCACTGAAGCGTGCTTTTAAACCTTTCGGGCTCTTAGTAAAAACTGGAGACGTGAAAATGTTCTAACCGAGAGCTGAAAGAGAAACGTGATCGATAGAAGGCAAATAATTTCACGCAGGCGCTCGTTAGTTGGTAATGAGCCTCACATAAGAGCCACCGAGCGTGACCACCTGCAGCCTCTGAAGTGAAAGGAATTCTAAAGAGTTTGAGAACCCTGCGGCTGACTACAGAGCAAACATGCGCATCACTTTTCCCCATCGAGAGAAGATGTTACCGCACACGTTCAGACGAGGCCTGGAGGCTGAGCATGCTGCCAAAGAAGGCAAACAAATCTGCTTGAAGGAGAACCTGTGGAGCTGGAGAAGGTGGCTGCATTGCAAGAACCAGGCCTGTCATCGTGACCCTTCCTTTAGTACATAGAGATTCCTTCCCATCACTCTCACCCGAAAACTGCCACCTCTGCTCACAATGAAAGGTCTTGAAAGTTTATTTAAAAGGGAAGAGTTACAAAGTAAGATAAGAGAGAATAACGTAACGTCATGGAGATCCTCAGACAAGGCAAGTGTCAAGCTAAGGGATCAGAACTCATGGTCAAAAGGGGAGGCTTCTGAGCTCTAATCCTGGGCAGTTGCCATGTAGGACCCACTGAACATAACCATTTTACATATTAACTCATTTACTTAAGAAAAAACACGTGCAGCACATCGTTATTTATTAGAGACATTCATTTGTTATTTAGGAAAACCTTATCATCTTGATTGTGGCCCAGTCTCTCAAATACTCTGTAGAACATGGAGACTTGGAGAACTCGCTGTAGAACATGGAGACTTGGAGAACTCGCTGTAAAACATGGAGACTTGGGGACCTCGATATAAAACATGGAGACTTGGGGACGTTGCTATAGAACATGGAGACTTCACTGTAGAACAAGAAGATTTGGGGACCTCGCTGTAGAACATGGAGACCTCATTATAGAACATGGAGACTTGGGGACCTCGCTGTAGAACATGGAGACTTGGAGACCTCACTATAGAACATGGAAACTTGGAGACCTCGCTGTAGAACATGGAGACTTAGGGACCTCACTATAGAACTTGGAGACCTCACTATAGAACATGGAGACTTGGAGACCTCGCTGTAGAACATGGAGAATTGGAGACCTCGCTGTAGAACATGGAGAATTGGAGACCTCGCTGTAGAACATGGAGACTTGGAGACCTTGCTGTAGAACATGGAGACTTGGGGACCTCGCTGTAGAACATGGAGTCTTGGGGACCTCGCCGTAGAACATGGAGACTTAGGGACCTCACTATAGAACTTGGAGACTTGGAGACCTCACTATAGAACATGGAGACTTGGGGACCTCGCTGTAGAACATGGAGACTTGGAGACCTCGTTGTAGAACATGGAGACTTGGAGACCTCGTTGTAGAACATGGAGACTTGGAGACCTTGCTGTAGAACATGGAGACCTCGCTTTATAA